TGAATATTTCCAGTGTATTTTGCAAATCGTTTCTTTCATGTGCTTTTTGTGCATTATTATTATTGTTATTAAAACAATAATAATAATAATGATAATAATAATAATAATAAAATAATAATAATAATAATGATAGTAATAATAATGATGATAATCATAATAATGATAATAATAATAATAATAATAATTATCATTATAATTATTACTATTATTTTTATTAATATAATACTACTACTAATGACTATTGTTAATAGAAGAATAATTGTTATTGATATAATCATTATCATTATTATTATTATTATTATTATTATTATTATTATTATTATTATTATTATTATTATCATTATTATTATTATTATTATTATTAATGTTAATATTATTATTATTATTATCAATATTATCATTATTATTATTATGATAATGATAATAATAATGATGATGATGATAGTAATAATAATAATAGTAATAATGATAATAATAATGATAATAATAATAATAATAATAATGATAATAACAATAATAATAACAATAATAATAAAGTAATAATTATTTTTGTTATTATTATTATTATTATTATAATCATAATTATCATTATTATAACCATAATTATCATCATTATAATAAATATTATTAGCTGATGCTGATGCGAAGCAATCGAACGGATAGTATCCCCTTACAGCGAAAAAAGTCAGCTGATTCATGACATCACTCGATATCCTAAAGCATTAAACTTTAACTGGAGAGGAAAATAAAAGAACAGAAAAGCCCAAAAAAAAAGAAAAAAGAAAAAAAAAGCAACATTAGACTCTTTTTGCCTTTTAAGCAGAACAAAATATAGTCCCCATTATCATTTATTGTTTCAGAACGTTGCTTCTTCTTGCATTCAGAGAGCGTTTTTTTTTTACAATAGACAGCGGAATCAATTACACATGATAGAGAATATTTGAGAAGATTTCCATATTTTTTTAGCCTTTTTTTTTTAAATCTTCGCTCCGCACAACACATCATCACTCGCTCATAGTCAAAAGGATCTTTTGTTGCAAGCATTGTGTGTCAAAAGCAATTGAGCGACAGTGATTGGCATGACATGGGGGGGAGGAGCTTGCACAATAGGGTGCTCTGACCCGATGTAATGTGCGACGGAGGAAGAAAAATAAAAATGGCCTTTGCAGGAATTCACGTGGGAAAGGATCGAGTGCGGGGCAGAATCTGCTGCAATCTCTGCTTTCTTTTTGGCTTTTCTCGCTCTCATTATCTCTCCGTCTCTTTGGGCTCTTTCGCTCTGGTGCGCTTTGGCTGTTGCTTTCTCTGTCTCTGTCTGTCTGAGGGAGTGAGAGATAGAGAGAGCGAGCGAGCGAGGGTGAGAGAGAGAGAGAGAGAGAGAGAGAGAGAGAGAGAGAGAGAGAGAGAGAGAGAGAGAGAGAGAGAGAGAGAGAGAGAGAGAGAGAGAGAGGGAGAGATAGATAGATAGATAGATAGATAGAGAAAGAGAGAGAGAGAGAGAGAGAGAGAGAGAGAGAGAGAGAGAGAGAGAGAGAGAGAGAGAGAGAGAGAGAGAGAGAGACAGAGACAGACAGAGACAGAGACAGAGACAGACAGAAAAACAAACAGACAGAGAAAGAAAAAAAAAAAAAAATAGTGGCATAAATCAGCAACAATCTTTGAACAAACGAAGAAGCTCCTTATCCACGCAGGCTATATCCAAGAAAAGATCAATCAGAAAGATCTTAAGAGAAAGTACTTCAAAAATTTCGAGTCCTTTTTATTTTCCTTTTTTTCCCTCTTTTGATTAGGAATCCATGAAATATATTGGAGTTTGTCTATATCATTATGATTTCGAGTGGGATAAACCCTTCGCCGACTATGGAGTTCTTAAAGTAGGGTGGGGAGGTTATAGCAGGTTGTTTGATCAGAAATAAGTAAGTAGATTAGTTGGTATGTGCTAATAATGTGCTTTATGACCATGTGTAAATATCAGAATGCATACACGTACACTCATACTCACATACATACACACACAACACACAGGTGTATGTATGCATTACATACACTTGTACACAAACACACACACACACACACACACACACACACACACACACAGACACACACACACACGCACTCACTCACGCACTCACTCACACACACACACACACACACACACTCTCTCACTCACATACACACAACCCACCCTCCCCCCACAAATACACACGCACATTTACCCCCCACCCCTTTCACAACCATACACAAACACACGCCCATCCACACGCCCACACGCCCACACACCCCTTATCCCCACCCTCATCCCAAATATCCAACAATCCAAATCACCTTCTCTTCTCCCGCAGATCCGGTGAGCACCATGACGCCCATGTGAATGTGGGCGGATCCCAAGGGCGGCGGAGGAGGCGGTGCAAGCGAGTGGCGGCGGGTGGGCGCGCGGGCGGCGTCTTTGCGAAGTCTCTCCGACGGGCGCTGGCTCTTCGTCATGGCTGTCAACGTGCTTATGCCGCTGCTCATCCCGCTCGGGGAACAGATCACTAACGGTGAGGGGGGGGACTCTCTCGGCCTGCTTGTCTGTCTATTTGTTTGTTTGTTTGTTTGTCTGCCTCTCTTTCTGTTTGTTTGTTTAGTTAGTCTGTCTGTCTCTCTGCCTCTCTTTCTGTCTGTTTGTTTGTTTGTTTGTTTGTTAGTCTGTATGTCTGCCTCTCTGTCTGTCTGTTTGTTAGTCTGTCTGTCTGCCTCTCTTTCTGTCTGTCTGTTTGTTTGTTTCTCTGTCTGTCTGTTTGTCTGTTTCCTACTGTTTGTTTGTTAGTTTATTTGTCAGTCTTTCTGCCTCTCTTTCGGTTTGTTTGTCTATCTATTTTTTTTTCTCCCTGTTTGTCAGTCTCTCTGCCTCTACGCTTCTTTTTTTGTCTGTTTGTCTGTATGTCTATTTGTTTGTTAGTCTCTGTCTCTCCTTTTTCTGTCTGTTTGTTTGACTTTTTCCTGTCTATCTGTCTATTTGTTTGTCTTTTTTCTGTCTATCTGTCTATTTGTTTGTTTGTCTGTCTGTCTGTTTGCCTGATTATCAGTCTCTCTGTCTCTCTGGTTTTGTATCTGTTGGCCTCTGTTTCTTTTCTTACGTTGCTTCCCAGTCTCGGTCCCTGTCTCTGTCTCTGCTTTCCTCTCTCTCTATCTCTGCTTCTATATTCTTCCTCTGCCATTGTGTCTATCTATTTTAGTCTGTTAGTTTACCTGTCCGTCTTTCTCTTATCTTTATCTCTGCCTCTGTTTCTCTCTCTCCATCTCTGCCATTGCATCGGCTAGTCTGTCTGTTTGTCTGTTTATCTGCTTATATGCCTCTGTCTGTCTGCCTCTGTCTCTGTCTCTGTTTCTTTCTCTGTCTGTCTGTCAGTCTGTCTGTCTCTTTCTATATATAGATGGTATAGATTTCAATCTATCTATTTATATATATATCTGTTCATCTAACCATCTTCCCATACATCTATCCATTTTTTCTTTCTATCTTTCTATCCATAATTTCATCTTTCTCTCTCTGTCTCTCTATCTATTTGCCTACCTATCTATCTATCTCTCGCACCTATCTATTCATCCAGCCGTCTATCTATCTATCTATATAATCTATCTATTTATCTATCTATCTATCTATCTATCTATCTATCTATCTATCAGTTTGAAAGGATGGATTACTGGATAGATCTATAGACATCACACCGCGTATCTCCTGTCTACTCGTGTGTCATGCACATGTATGTACGCGTGTATGTGTGCTTATGTGCGTTTGTATGTAGCCAATTCCGTGCACAGAGCTCAAGGACCACCAATCTCTCTGAGTCATCTGCGCCGCAAAACTCTTTCTTTTCAAACTTGCTTTTCGCAACATTGGATCCTCGTCACCCCCCACCCCCCCACCCCCACACACTCGAGATGACCCCCCCCCCCCCCCGTGATAGCTTCGTTCTTTCCTTCTCTCTAACCCATGATTGCTTTGTCTTCTCTTCTTCTTCCCCCCATGGTAGCTCCGTACCCTCACCCCCCCTTCCCTAATGGTAGGCTCTTCTCCACTCCACCTCCTCCCCCATGGTAGCTCCGTACCTCTACCCCCCTTTCCCCTATGGTAGGCTCTTCCCCACCCCCCTCCTCCCACATGGTAGCTTCGTATCCCCACCCCTCCCCCATGACTGCTTTGTTTTCCCTTCCCCTTCCCCCATGGTAGCATCGTCCTCACCCCCTCCTCCCCCATGGTAGGCTCTCTTCCCCACCCCCTCCTCCATGAGCCTTTCCCCCACCCATCCACCTATACCCCCTCCCCCCACCGAAAACCTCATGATACCTTCCCTCCCGTCTCCCCCTCCACACCCCCTCCCCTCTCCCTTCCCTCCTCTCACGCCCCGCACCAATGCCTCCCTCGCCGACTCTCGCAAGCACGCAAGCAGGTCCAGTCATCGCCGCTTTCGCACGAATTGGGGAACACAATCTCTTCTTTCTTTCTCTCTCTCTCTCTCTTTCGCTCTTCCTTTGTCTGTCTCGGTCTCTGTCGTTCTCGTCGCCTCCTGCTCTTTCGCTTTTTCTTTCGAATGCTTTAGCTCTCATTCGTTCTTTGTGTATATGCTAGTCTGTTTGGTCGTATTTGTTTTTTATGTATTTCTCTCTCTTTCTTTCTCTTTCTCTCTCTCTCTCTCTCTCTCTCTCTCTCTCTCTCTCTCTCCTCTTCCCCTCTCTCTCTCCTTCTCTCCTCTTCCCCTCTCTCTCCCCCTCTCTCTCTCTCTCTCTCTCCCACTTTAGTTCAGTTTCAGATTTGTTGACAGTCAGAATTTTAATATTTTTCTCTCCCCAGGACCATCGGTGAAAACGGCGGTCGAGGCGTGTCTTTTTGTCATGCTGATTGGGGAAAATCGTTTTTCATGTTGGCGCGTTTCGAATGCGTGTGGCATTTTTTTTCTTGCCTTTTTTGAGTTCAGCGATGGATTAATAGTTGGGTGGGTGGGTATAGAGGTAGATAG